CAGCGGGGCCGCCATTTGGCGCGGGTGAGATCCTGTCAGGGCCTGGCATCCCTACCCCTCGTGTTTCAGTCAGAAAAGCTCTCCTGTCGTCTGGACCCTGCCGTGAGGTGCCTGCCTGGCCAAGGGCAGGGAGGGGAAGGAGCTCCGCGCCCCCTCGGTTGGCAAAGTCCTTCCCGGAGAGCTTTCGGTGGGCCTTTGGTAGCTGTGTTTGGTCCCTTTTCACGAAGTTTGGTGACAGCCAGGTTGAAAACCGCTTTTGCGGCTTTGTGATTACACCTTAATATGTCTGACTCTCTTAAGTTTTGTCTCCCGAGGGACACTTGAGCAGCAAACCAGGAAACATAACAGCTGTATGCAGGAACACAAAAGAAGCCCCGTTTTGCTGGTGCAGAGTAAATAAAACTCTGTATGAACTGCAGATCCTGTGCGTCTGTGCAAGGGTGTTCGTAGAAACGATGTAGCATGGGGTGGACAGAGAAATCTTATTGGAAAAGTCACTTCCGAGGAACTGTGGGATTCTGTCATTCCCTTGCACACTCCTAAACGTGTGCGATCTTTTGAGGCTTTGAGCAACCTGGGCTAGTGGGAGGTGTCCCTGCCCATGGCAGGGGGTTGGAACTCGATGATCTCTAAGGTCCCTTCCAACCCAAACCATTCTGTGATTCTGTGATATGATTCTGTGAATTCAGAACTATTTGATTGCTGCCTGATATGTGACTGTGAAATGTTTTCCTGAATCACTTTCAGGTTCCAGAACAGCGATGGGGAGGTCAAATACTTGCGTGATGGTGAAGAACTGATTCGGCCAGAGCGAAACACTTTGACCGTAAGCTTTACGGATTTGGAGCAGTTCAATCAGCAGCTATCTACCACTATTCAGGAGGAATTTTACAGGTAAAGTGTAGAGATTACCTGAGAGCTGAGCAATGCTGCAGTCTCAGGCGTGTAGTGCCTTACTAGAGAGAAGTTTATCTGCTTTCTGTGTCCTGAAAACACATTTAAGAATTATTTTTTTTGCTATGTCAAAACTTGTTTCTAAACGGATTCATAGTTACTCATTTTGCCTCTCTGGAAATCATGAGTTAACTAGGCAATTGCATTTAGTCCAGTAAAGAAGTAGATGGTCAGTACAGGAATACAGACTAAACTCTAGAGCTTCTTGCTCTGAAAATACTTTATTGAGCCAGTGGCTTATTTTGAGTAATGTAACTGTAAAAGTGTTATAAAATGAGATTTTTAAAAGTCCATACAATAAAGCAAGTGGTATTATTATGCAGTAGTCTCATATTTAGCATATTTAGATTTGGTTTTGTGTGTTCTTACATAATGTAACCTAAAAAAACAAAACCTGGGAATATATGATACAAGCCTGAAGCAAAGAAGACATTTTGATGGCTTCTATAAAATTTGAACTTATTTTCTATGTTTCAGGGTTTACCCTTACCTCTGCCGAGCAGTAAAGATTTTTGCCAGAGACCATGGAAATGTTCCTTCAAACAAGGACTTTTACGTTGCATTCCAAGATCTACCTACCAGACACAAGTAAGATGATTGTTGATTCCAGAAACTTGAGCATTTTTACTACTGGAAGAAAGTGTCAAAAATGTTTCGGTTATGCAGCATGAAATGTACAGTTCACCAATGCAATTGCGAAGAAGTTTCCTGATCTTGTGCAGGCTATTTTCTGAAACAGTTTTTTTATTTGTGAATCATACTCAGATACTTACATTCATCATATTCCATGAACAAATGTCACTTCTCTAATTTAAAAAAAAGCAATTAGAGTATGTTGCTTTTGAATACCAGTGAAGTAAGTTTTCCATTGGTTTGATGTCTGAAATTAATCTAAAATTTTATGTAAAATCATAAAATGAGACAATATTCTAGTAACTGTTTTCTTTTGTCTGTTACAACTGTTCTTTAGTCACAGACTGAATGAAACTATGTTGCATCTTGGTACTTGGGTGGTATCCTGGGCCTAAAAATGTCAGTTCAACTCAAGAATTTAATCCCTATCAATTTCTGTTTTAAACAGAATTAGAGAACTGACATCAGCAAAAATTGGCTCCCTGATGCGTATCAGCGGACAGGTGGTACGTACCCACCCAGTTCATCCTGAGCTTGTAAGTGGAACCTTCCTGTGCCTTGACTGCCAGACAGTGATTAAAGATGTGGAACAGCAATTCAAATACACGCAGCCAAACATCTGCAGAAACCCAGTCTGTGCCAATAGAAGGAGAACCCAAACAAATCAAGATTTGTTGACTTCCAGAAGGTACAGTGGTGAGGCTGAGGGGATGACAACAGTGTTGTTCCTGTGGTAGTTGAAAGGTGTTTGTACTGCTACACATTGAAGACAGTTAATTTTGGTTCTGTTGACATCAAGAAAAGACCTTAAGAAAAGGAACCAGAGTTTCTGGAAGTAGTTAGTTTTTGTCCGTGGAAGGCTTATGTTTAAGCGTGGGAAATGATGAATTTCAAAGCGGTTTTGTTGCATGATGTTTGTTGTCTAAGCAAGCCACTGAAAACCCACGTATTCAAGCCATTGTCAGTCTTCTGTCGCAGGTACCTCATATGTAGTTGTTCTATATGAGCATGAAAAGAGGTGCCTGTAGCATGTGCAATATTTTGCTCTTCCAGATGGATTTCCTCTGCCAAATCCTCAGCACATCACATCCTGAAATAATATTTTGTGTCAGTCATATTAACTGGACTCTTCAAGTTGCTTTTCCTAGACCTCAGAATTGTCATGGTGGCCCCTCTGTATCCTCTTAAATTTCTCCAAGACTCCTTCGGTACTGATTAGTGAAGGGTTTTTTTGTTGTTTGTCTTACTGTAAGAGGAATATCATGATTGACATGCATGGATGGCAGCAATCAAATACCACTTACTGTATTTATTAGCAGCTTAGCTTTTGAAGCAGTTTCAACTTTGGTGACGTTCGCTAAGTGCTCACTATTTTCTCCTTCCCCAGGTTCGTATTCAGGAGACGCAGGCTGAGCTGCCGCGCGGTAGCATTCCTCGCAGCGTGGAAGTGATCTTGCGTGCAGAAGCAGTGGAGTCTGCTCAGGCAGGTGACAAATGTGACTTCACAGGATCACTGATTGTTGTGCCTGATGTGTCCCAGCTCTCAACACCAGGTCTGTTTCTACTGCTTATGACCTTGATGAGATGTCTTTCCCACTCATTCTGGGAGCTGCTGTTCTGACTCCCACTCTAATGGCAGGGGTGCGTGCGGAAACCAGTTCCAGGGTGACTGGGACAGAAGGCTATGAAACCGAAGGCATCCGAGGACTTCGTGCCCTTGGAGTCAGAGAGCTGTCATACAAGCTAGTCTTCCTAGCTTGTTATGTTGCACCGACAAATCCACGGGTGAGTTTGGATAGAAAGTAGTTTTGAAGGTATTGATGATTTTTGCTCTTTATGGTTTTACCTCAGATTAGGGAGCAGGGATGGGTAAAGCTTTAAATATGTATGGGTACTATGCATTTGACTGTCTTTATGTTCTGATTGGATTTATATAGCAAGGTTTTTTTTCTTGTCTTTATTGTTCATAGCAGTTTTCAGAAACGTGACTATTTGCCAATCTTATCCATTTATTCTAAAGAGCAAAATGGTGCACTTATCTCCATTCAGCTTTCATCCATTTCTCCAGCATTTCCTTTTCTTCCAGAAAACCCTATTGCTTTATTTTGTCAGAGAGAAAACAGTGATTCTTCTTGTTCCCTCTGGTTTATCACGTAACATCTTGGGATGTTACTACAATGTAATAAGTAATACTGACTAATGGCTGGGTTTTAGCATGGTATGATTTTTTCATCTATAATTCTGCTGGCAGCTTCACCATCACCTAGGATAAAAATAGTGTTATTTTCTGGGTGTAGAAGTTTCCTGCCTTGTTCCAGATTGATAGAAGGCCTTGTAAATTCCAGTTAATGAAGAGTACTTACAAAGGCAAATTTTAACCAAAGTTAAGTTGTAGAGTTTTGTACTCTTTTTTTAAGCATCTCTTTGGGTTTTTCTCACAAACTGAAGTTGTACTCCATTGATTTTGCCCCCTAAAAAATTCTCTGCATTTATTTTTTTAAAGATATGAGGTCATGAGCTTCCTTAGCCTAAGGTTATCTTTTTTGAAGGGGTTCCTCCTACTCAGTTTACAGAGAAAGTTTGTATAACATCCTGTCTGTAGTACTCACATGACTACATTTGTCAGGATTATTACTTTAAATTTTCTTAATTTTCCCTGTTTAGTTTGGTGGAAAAGAGCTCCGAGATGAAGAACAGACTGCAGAAAGCATTAAAAACCAAATGTCTGTGAAAGAGTGGGAAAAGGTGTTTGAAATGAGCCAAGATAAGAACCTTTACCATAATTTGTGCACCAGCCTCTTCCCCACTATCCATGGTAAGAGTCAGTTGAGGCCTCAGAGGGGCAAGATTTCACTTGTGAAAATATTACTGCTTCTTGATGTCTCAAAACTCTCCCCTCCAGCACTGGTTATGCTAGGAAAGGAGATTCTGTTTCCTGAGTACTTGTGTTTAATCATTAAGTTGGAATGATTGGCTTTGCTATTGGGTGATCTACTACTAAATCCTACAGCTGACAGTGGCCTATATCTGTATCAAGCACATAAATGCAGTTTTAGTGGATGTTTAGCAAATAGGTAAATTCTGCATGATTCCCAAATGCTCTAAAATTCAAGTGGGCTGGAGCTTTTTCTAAGTAAGATACACATGGTCTTTTCTTTAGATTTTCATTTGGGTGTCTTTTCTGCGGCAGGTAATGATGAAGTGAAACGTGGGGTCCTGCTGATGCTTTTTGGAGGAGTTCCTAAGACCACTTCAGAAGGCACTTCATTGCGTGGGGACATTAACGTTTGTGTTGTTGGTGATCCAAGTACAGCCAAGAGTCAATTTCTAAAGTAAACATCTCATTAAAACTTAATATTTAAATATTGTCCAGTGTGACTAGAGCTATATATGTGTACTGTGCCTTTTCTATGCTAAAGAGAGGAAAGAGAAGTAAAATATTTAAGAATATTTTCCAGGAATTGTTTGGATGTGGTTGAAATGTTTGAATAGGGCTGAAGCAAACTCTGCAAGCCCCTGTGGTAATAACAAAGAAAGAATTATGACTTTTTTTTTTGTTCTTTAGGTAGTTAGGAAAGTACAAATTTTCAAATATTTTCAAAAGACATTGAATATCAAAAATGCAAAATTTACTGCACATCTTAAAATCAGAGATAGATGAAATAATGATTTTTTTTTTTCTATTTTTATCTTAGTCTAAATTGGTAGGTCGCAACACTTTGGACAAACAGACAGCTATTAACTCTGAAAAATAATTATGAAATAATTATGTTTTATGCTACATCTTATGGTATAGTGCCTTTAAATTTGAAATTCTATTTAATATGGTTTTATTTTATCATGCTGCTCATTTACTTTTGCATCCTACTCTATGAAGCTGAGGTCCTTGCAGCATACACTGCAACTCAGAAATAGAGAGGCACTACAAAAGCTGCTTTAGGCCTCCTGTGGTCTGTCTCGCTGCTTCCTGCTCTGAAACTGTTTGTTCCCTTGTGCTGACATTTGCCTGACCTGTAAGGAGCTGTGTCATCCTGTGAAGTCAGCAGAAGACTTGTGGGAGGAGGTCTGGATTATTTTTTCTGCTGGTGTAGTCACGGGCGAATAACAGACTTGTGACAGACTGCAGTTAGATAAGGATTAGTTTCCAAGGCTTGCTCAAACATTGTTAGAGGTGGGAGGGCCTACCTAAATATTAATTGCTTCCTGAAGGAAGGAACAAGTCCTGGCTTGAGAGGTTGAAAGCAGCATTACAGTTATCTTGTGTCTGCAGGTTTTTAAGTTTGTGCAGCACAATTCCTCACTGTTATTTCTCTCCATAGGCATGTGGATGAGTTCAGTCCTCGTGCTGTATACACCAGCGGAAAAGCCTCCAGTGCTGCTGGTCTAACAGCAGCTGTTGTAAAAGATGAAGAGTCTCATGAATTTGTTATTGAAGCTGGAGCACTGATGCTGGCAGATAATGTAAGTCAAGGAACTAGAAAGGTTCCTGCATTCCTGGAATGGTTTTGATTATGACCAAGAACCCCAAATTGTCTTAATGATGCTTTTTTTCAAAAATGATGGAATTTGGGTAACTTATTATTTTTTATTCTTCTGCTGCAGGGGGTTTGCTGCATTGATGAATTTGACAAAATGGATGTGCGGGATCAAGTAGCCATTCATGAAGCCATGGAGCAGCAGACTATATCCATTACTAAAGCAGGAGTAAAGGTAGCTTGCGCTGTTCTGCTGGTTGTGTAGTCTGTACAGTTGCCTGACCTTTTCTTGCGTGTACTGATCTAGCATCATCTGTGAGATTTTCGTGCCACCTCTGGAGCTGCCTCACTGTGGCAGGAGAGGGATGACTTACCTGCAAAATTTTTGGGCCACATACCCAGAAAGAATCAGAAATGTTACCAAAAGGAAAAAAGAGATAGCAGTGGGCCAGAAACAGAAAAAGAGAAAATCCTAACCTTGAAGTAACCCCAAAAGAGGATATAGATTTATATGTGTTTGTAGAAGTAAACTGTATATTTGCACTGTTAAAAACAGTGTGTTGTGAAAAGCAATTTTAAGGGCTTGTTTCAGTACTGTTGGCAAGGTTGTGGCAGTGTTAAAATGTTGATTCATCAAACTGTGTCTGGGGGCAGAGATCTGGTGAGAAACAGCTGATTAGAAGAGTTTGGGCTCTTTTGAAGAGCAATTGTTATAATAACTCTGTTGAAACTCCATCTAAAAGATATTATGCTGAGCCATTCAAATTCGATGAGTTGGTTTAGCAGGTGGTCACAGATACAATTCTTTTTTTTTTTTTTCATGTTCATTGTCAGGCTACCCTGAATGCCAGGACTTCCATTTTGGCTGCAGCAAACCCAGTTGGTGGGCGCTATGACAGATCCAAGTCGCTGAAACAGAATATAAACCTATCAGCTCCCATCATGTCTCGCTTTGATCTCTTCTTCATCCTCGTGGATGAATGTAATGAGGTAATTTTAAGGAATAATAGAATGATTTATATCAGAAAATACCTCTGGAGGTCTCTAGTCTAACCTCACACTCCAAGGAGATAATTTAGAACAGGTTGCCAAGACCTTGACCTGGTGAGTTTTGTGTATCTCACAGGATGGAGATTCTATAGCCTCTCTGGGCCCTTACTACAATGTTTGACAACTCTCATGTATTTAAAAAATAATAATAGCTTTTATATCTAATCAGAATTTCTCATGGTTCAGTTTGTGTTGGTTGTCTCTTGTAAATCTGTACTTCTGAGAACCATCTGGCTCTATCACATCTGTACTCGCCAATGAGGCAGTTGCTTTCTTTTCAAGCTGAACAGACCCAACTCTTTCAGCCTCTCCTCACATGTCATGACCATCTTGGTGGCCCTCTGAAATTTTAGGTGAAGCTGATCTCACGGGAGCGTCTTGCTTCTGCTTTTCTTCTTTGTTTGCGTACTTAAAAGCTGTCAGTACAAATTTGAACACACTTTGCTGAATACAAGGATACTGGCTTTTCATCTTGTAGTGATTTGACCTGTAAACTTAATGCTATTAGTCATTTTTACAAATCGCTAGTCGCTAAGGCTAAGACTGCTACCACCTGTCAGTGTGTTGTTTGCCTTGGGAACACAGGAGATACAGATTAATGTTGGTTCAGTGCTATTTTTTCCACTGTTGTGCTCAGAGCGATTATCTAATTGAGAAGGGACTGATGAAAGAGACAGAGTAGGCTGAAAATGAATCAAGCAGTTCCCACGCTGCAAAATGCTGCTTTCTGCCTGTTCTATGGCTAACTTGTAACCCAGGAGAGTTCCAAGAGGTTATAAATCCTAAAACTGCCTTTTGTCCCTTCTCTGCTGTATTTCTTTGTATTAAAAACCTCCAGCGCATTCTCCTGGATCTTTTGGCAGAGAGTCTGGCTTCTGGAAAGTCTAGTTCTGCCATAAGGAGTGCAAGTGAGGGAAGGGAAAGAAGAATATAACTGTTGTTTTAATATTTGGCTGATGTTGTGAAAGTCACCTGACAAAGCAATAATATCCCAGGTTACAGATTACGCCATTGCCAGACGCATAGTGGATCTGCATGCCAGGGTAGAAGAATCTGTTGATCGTGTCTATTCATTAGACGATATCAGAAGGTATCTGCTGTTTGCAAGACAGTTTAAACCAAAGGTAATTCTACTTTCTTGTATAAGTTGTTCTGTATGAGGAGGTCCAAAGGAATAGTCGCTCTGTATCATGCTTTTTTCCAGCAAATGCAGACACTTCGTGTTCTCAAGAAAGGAGCCATAAACTCAATTATCTAGAAACATTGCATATTTTGGAGCCATATACTCTTTTTTTTTGACTTATTGATTAATCAGTTTGTCTTTATATTAAAAGGGTATTGTTCCTCAATATATATTTGGGGGTTTTTTTGTGTCAAAATACAGAACATTGGAAACTGCTCTAAGTACAGTCTTTGTGGTCTATGCAAATAGCAGCTTGGATGGTCTGTGTGTTAGATTATTCAGAAGTTCTTCTGATGTAGTTCTTCTCAAATGGAAGGAGAGGACACCCTTCCTTACAGAGTTTTGAAAATTCCCATTTTGTTTCCATGTGGTGGGGAGTTTTCCAGTTGGATCTGTGTGTGTGCAGATAGACAGGTTAAAAAGCATATGCACAAATCTGTAGTCAGTATGTCTAGTGTATGTTTGTGTTTGCATGCAGAAAAAAGGTAAATAAACACAGGACAGTCTAGTAGAGACAGACATGAATTATGCCCAGAAGCAAGTTGGTGGAACAGAAAAACAGAATTTATCAAAAATCTGCTGTAAAATAATTAATGCATCAATGTACTTATTGTAATATCATTGTTACGATAATCATTATTCCAATATAATTTTAACATAATAGGATTTTCATTATATTTAGGCATAGCATGTGCATAGCATAGAATATTTCAGAGCAAAGCAGTAGCTAGTACAGAAAAGTCTGGAAACTGTCAGTCTAATTCAAGAAGCACAAACTTGAATATTTTAACATGGCACACTGTCATACTGTCTTGTGTCACCAAGATATCTAAGGAGTCTGAGGACTTTATAGTGGAGCAGTATAAACGACTACGGCAGCGTGATGGCTCTGGAGTGACAAAGTCATCCTGGAGAATCACAGTGCGACAGCTGGAAAGCATGATTCGGCTATCTGAAGCTATGGCCCGTATGCACTGCTGTGATGAGGTATCAGGTTTTTGATGAAAATTTATATAAATGTTTATATAAATGTTGTGGGAGTTTTGGCTTTGCTATTTAACTATGATATTGTACATATTTAAATCCTGTGGGTGAGGAGGAGAGGTGGATCATGTTTTTATGTGTGATGTGGTCATACTCGGTCTGAATTTGTATACCAGAAATACTGTTTTTGAGGTATGTTTTGCAAAACTGCAATCAGCTGGTCCACACTGAGAGCATGTGTGTTTTTCTGTTACAGTAGTATCAGCACTCTCAGCCTGTTACCTCTCAAATCACAACAAATAGGAAGAACAATAATCTATTAGTATCAGCCAGGGCTGTTGGCAATGTTTCTTTTAATCTTGCATAGTTTGTAATCTCTCACAGCTCTCTTCCATCTGCAATCTAAGAAGCCAAAGTTTGTCACAGTATCTGAATTTCCCTAAGAGTACCTGCATTTGTGATCTGAGCTCCACCTCACATCAACCAATGTTGAAATGTACATTGTGTTATGGATATTAACTGTAGTATGACTGTTATCAATCTAGTCCCTCCTTTAAAACTCAGCAGGCTTTTTGAAATGTTGATTAGGGGCTGTGTGACACATGCAGTGATAGAAACTTGCTCACTGGTTGTGTAAGATGGACACCCATTGGGTTCTTTTTAATTAAATCCAGCTTATAAAGAAATAGATAGCTTTTAACTTATGACTCAGCTAGAGATGATTTTTCCATTTTTTGAATTTCAATTCCAGAGGTCTCAATAATTACTTTTTTTTATATTGTTTCTGTTCAGACCCATTTCTTTCATGTTTCTTAATCCACTGATCTTTCTTCAAAATGTTCTTGGGTTAAGTAAAAATTTAATCAACTTCACATGACCGCTAAAGCCTGAAGGATTCATTAGGCTGCTTATTTCCTCCATAACCTTGTGTGAACTCAGAGTACTTGTAGTGGGATATAATTTAACTTGCAGAGTCTTTACTGCTTAGGATTAATGAGGTGAGATGGGTAAAAAGACCCTTCATGTCAGGGTTGAGTTTCTGGAGCTATTGGGGGAAAAAAAGCTCTGAACAGTAGGAGTCACCATGCCTATTTAATACATGTTTTTTTAAAATCTTCCCCAGGTTCACCCAAAACATGTGAAGGAAGCTTTCAGGCTTTTAAATAAGTCCATCATTAGAGTTGAGACTCCTGACATCAATTTAGACCAAGAAGATGAAGAGCAAATGGAGGATCAAGAGCACCAAGATGGAGTCAATGGTAAATTACTTGTAGAAAATTTTCTCAAAGGGGAAAGTGCTTCCAGACTTTACGGCTTACCGTGTTTGAGTGTATGCTTCTCTTCAGTGTCTCACCTATTTATCATGTAATAAGGTTTAGGAATCTTGATTCCCATTTTTGACTCTTTTACTTCTTTGGCCTCCTCATGGGTCCGCTCACCTGGTTGGTCGATGCAACACTTCTCAGCAGCTCAGAGAACTAGACAGTTAAACAGATGTTGCAGGTTTAAACCTGGGCATGTGTCCAAACAGGTGAAGCAGAAGCTCCAGCTGGGGTCAATGGTCTTGTGAATGGGATCAGTGGCCATTCTGAGGACATGAACAAGGATGCTGCACCCAAAGCTTCCCTTAGACTGGGCTTTGCCGAGTATCGACGAATTTCTAATCTCCTGGTGCTGCACCTCAGGAAAGCAGAGGAAGGTAAGAATCTGTGTATTAGAAAGACAGCAGACCCTGATTTATGTCACCATGTGTGTCCTGGCTCTTTACTGAAATGAATTCACCTCGCAATGGAATTTTTTAGCTGTAAAGAAAGCTGTAATCTTTCAGCAACTTTAGAGAAAAAGGGCTTGAGTATGTCTGGTGTTAAAACGGTTTGGAGAGAAGGTTGTGATCACACATCCTTGCACAACAGTTGCCGCTTCTTGTGCATTTTGAAGTGTAATTTGGTAAAAATTACTGTGTGAGTAAAATCTAATGCTTAGCACCCTGGAATACTTCAGACGTATTAACCGAGTAACCTCTGCAGGGGTTCACAAACTTGCTTCTCTAGCTAGAATAGTCAGCAGCAATGAAAACATTGTAGCAAGCGCTTTAATGTATGGCAGCAACCACAGGGTAAAGTGTATACTTAACCAGGATGTGCCAAACGGCTGCATGCTTTCTTGGGGAGATGAAATATTTCAGTTGCAGTGAGGCTACGCCTGTGTTGAAGTGTAGCGGTTGTCTGATAGCATGTACCAATGTGATGAAGTTTTTGGAGGGTTGTGGAGACTACAATATCTGTACAACATCTTGAGTACATGTAGAAGGATGACTTCTTTGGCTTTGTGTGACAGTGATTTTCTTTTGCCCTTGCTTGGAGGAAAGGTGTACAAGTACTTATGAATGCTTCTGGAAGCTGAAGGCTGATGTGTCTGCTAGGCTGCTCATTTAATTTGTGAGCCACATGGATGCATGGAACTGAAAGCTTCACTTCTCAGTCTGAATATCTCCAATTAAACCGTGCAAAAACAGCCTCCTGTTCAAGACATGCTGATTTAAGAAGTGGAAGGAAGTCTGATGGGCTATTGCATGTTTCTCTCTTTGGCATTGTAAATGTTAACATAGAAATCTTTTTCTCTTATGTTTTGAATGGTATTTTACCACTGCTGTGTTTGTGCAAGTTATGTGGAATGGTACTGTAATTAGACTGCGGTATGTTGATGCTTTTTGTTTTATTTGCAGAAGAAGATGATTCAGCATTAAAGAAGAGTGAACTTATTAATTGGTATCTAAAGGAAATTGAATCTGAAATAGAATCTGAAGAAGAACTAATAAATAAAAAGAAGATCATAGAGAGAGTAATTCACCGACTTACACATTATGTATGTATAGAGATGTGTGTATAGTGAAAAAAAGTTTTAACTTATATAAGTGCAGTGTGTAATGGAATATATTCCTAATTTGGGAAATGTGTTTTGTGATTCTGTGTTATTGACTGGTGCAGTAGAAATGCCTTCTTTGTTTAATATTTGTTCAAAAATAGAGAAAAGACTGAAATAAATTAGAGGTGTGTATGAGTAACAGTTCAGAGCACCATATTATGTCCCTGTAGAAGTGTAAGTAGTATCTTCCTGTAGTTCTATGGTATTAGTTATACATGAGGATACAGAAATACAAAAAACACTTTTCAATGGATAGCTTTAAGTCATGGGGGCACTAGGGCAGTTTAGAACAAAAAAGTATGAAAATATAAAACACTTCTCATTTTTAAAGGTACAAACCCACTAGATTGAAGTATTCCCAGAAAGCATACTACGTATAAGAGATTTCCGCTAAAGGTAATTGTTAAGATTAGAAACCTGTTAAAGAGGGATTTCACAATTAAAAGGGTTAAATAATTCATCAATATGAGGTGCTACCAGTGTAAAAAGAAGATGCCTTTCAAGAAGTACAAGCAATCCTTGCTGTTCGTGTTTGAAAACTAATTTTTGTCTGTTGCAGGACCACATTCTGATAGAACTGTCCCAGTCAGGACTGAAAGGATCCAGAGAAGAGGAGACTTTTGATGAAGATCCATACCTGGTTGTCAACCCAAACTATCTGCTGGACGACTAAGGGCTGAGAACTGGATTGTAGAACTGACTAGTTACATGTTGGAAAATGCATTCTTTTCTGCATCCTTGCAAGGCTTGCTGTATAGCTAACATCTTAACTTCCTATGAATGCTTTAATGTGGAATTCGCCAATGTGCGGTTAGTAATATGTGATTGCTCATTTACACTGAGTATACCTGGAAAGTTTTTAAAGAAATGACACACATATATTAGTTTCGTTATTAATTCTGGATTTTACTGCCATCATCCAGATGCAGAGGAGAATCATTCAGTAGCTCTCTTCGGCATCAAGCTATGCAGATACTTATGTTTTAAATCAGAAGAATTTTGCGTTGTTCTTCTGTTGTGTTTAGTAGACTTTTTATGCTATAGGTTTTTACTTTTTTCTTATTAACATAAATAAAAGGTCATTAAATGTCTGGGGGTGGATTTGTTGTCATTTCATATGTGGGATAGCTATTTTCTATGCCTATGCTTTGAGGCTGAAAAAATAGTGATCTAAATGTTTAATGTCTTAAGAAAGATTAAATTTCCTGGATGACAGATGCTGTTTTTAAAGAAGTTTTTTTAACTTCCAGTAACAGATAATGAGAAACTCTGGTTGCTTCTCTTTCTTTTTAGATGGACTAAAGATGTGTATGCTCCTGTTGCATATGTAAAATAGAAAATTGAAAATAGTCAAGCCCAAAGCAAGGCTTTAAGTCAGGAGGTCAGAAACCCCCATCTTGATGAATGGTTTGACTTGTAAGTGAATTGAAAATTGCCATAATTTGTGAGGGATTTTTTAAAGTATGTTTGTAAACTTGTTTGTAGATTTTTTTCTATAAGAAAATTTTACTTAAATTTATGTTACTCTCAATTATTTGCTATATGCTGTGGGATTATTAAATAATCTATTAAGAATTTAAAATACCTGAATATTTGGATTTTTTTGGGTTTTTTATCTGATACCAGCACCTAAGAAACATTTGTAATACCATGAAAGATAGCAAAGCTATATATTTAAAGTATAAATAGTGTGAAATAACTGTTTCTGAAGCAGGTCCAGTAATGGAGCTTGTTTGTAAGACAGTTGTCTTTTTCCTGTTAGTCTCTCCCAGCTTTGGGAAGATATACCTCCGTCTAACAAAGCATATAATTAAAGATAACAGTTACATTGATGGAATGGACAGAATCATAAATATTTGTCACCAACTCTGCCCTATCACTGGGCACTATCTCTGGCTGCAGGAACTTCTCTCCACTAATTTATTTCATAAACTGCATCTAGCAAATGCTAGATTTAATTAAAAATTGCCACCCCCTACAACAACAGTTTCGTTTTATTCTACACTGTTTATAATTTACTTTCAAAATAAGGACATGTTTCTACTTCATTTTGTGTTTCCCCCTTCTCTCCCCCCTAATCTTTGTTTGATAGTAGGTATTTTTCACATGGAGAAAGTAAGTAGTTTTTCTGCTTCTCCTTGCCCAGTTCTATAGGAGGGGTGTTCTTTTTCTGAGTTGACACTGCTCTACTGAAAAATAAGCAGCAGGTGGTGCTGTGAAGTTCCTGTTCATACTTGTTATTCCAACCTCCGGGGGGAAAAAAAACAGAATAGGGACTTGGTTGTTCAGAACAGCAAGCACAATGTTTCAGCAAGCTTTTCAAGGCTTCCTAAAAAAAAAAAAAAAAAAAAAAAGTCACCTGGGAATCAAACAGGGTCAAAGTACACAAAATACAATCCCTGTATAAGCGATAAGATTGGCTATTTGAGTAACAGCAAACACTGAGAGACGTTTTCTACTGTAACTTAAAGATATTGCTTGACAGAGCAGTAAGTTGTCCAGATTATTCCAGGTATGCTTTAGACAAAAAGCTGGTTATTAAACAAAACTGGGAGATGGAACTGACTTCTTGATATAGTTACGTAGAATTTTGTGTTTAGTTGATTTAAACATGTTCTGTATTTAGGCAGCACAGACTGCAGTTTCAGGTAAATGTTCTCAGGTCTCCAGTTTTGCTGTATTTGAATGCAGACAAATTGAGCTATCTCTTCCCTGCAGCAGTTCAGGTAGGTGATCTGTACGTGTCCACCCTGCTGAGAGAGCGTGTATTCTTGAGGCTGAAAGAAGGAGTACTTTGGAAAGCAATAAAATGATGTTATTCAAATTCCTTCATGTTGTCAGGCATGAGGATGCACATTATTGCTGCTGCCTGAAATTGGGTTAGATGCCACATCTCAGATTTCCTTTATGTACCTAAGAATTATAGTACAAACATGCCTTTTTGCTGGCCTGCCCACCCTGAGCCATGGTGGCACCCAGCCCCAGCAGTGCAGATAACTCTGCTATTGTTATTTTCTGCATCCAGAGCTGTGCTGGGATTCCCCTTAAGCCAAAAAGGCCAAGCGGAGATGAAAGGCATTGTCTACTTATTTTATCTTCCTCTGAAACGGAGGCAGAATTAGCATGTCAGTTGATGTTCAAAGCATAAAGGGGAACGTGAGCACCTCAGAAAATGTTTCCACATGACCTTTCGCCAACTAATTGACAGTGTTTTTTGTATTCGTCCATTTGTTCGTTCATCTATTGATTGAAAGTCCTGATTTATTATCATTCTAGTGTCAGCTAGTTCTAGGAACATTTATCTGTGCAATAGATAATTTCAGTTAAATATTACTTCTACTGTAATATAAGTAGTGTGGAATAAAAATTTCTGAAGCAGATCCAGAAATGGAGCTGATTTATAAGACAGCCATCTTCTTTCTGTTAGTCTCTCCCAGCCTTGGGATAGTTGGGGAGTTTGCTCAGGATTTTATCACCATTGCTGGACCTCTACCCAGCAAGTCAGTAAATAGATTGCATCTGCAGAACCAAGTCCTACCCAAGGAAGATCAGGGCCCTGCTGTGGCTGAAGCCCATGATTACCTGTGCCAACAAGATCTTGTGGCTTCTGAGCTGCCCCACTACTTCTCCCAACTTCGTGAGGTCGGGGTGACACATTACAAAGTCTTCCTGCCCTGGGCACGCATTCTTCCGAAGGGGGATCCCAGGAAGCCAGATGAAGCTCAAGTGCAGTGCTACCAGCAGCTGCTCAAGACCCTGGTTGCTGCAGACCTCCAGCCAGTGGTAGTTCTGCATCACCGGCGTGTCCCTAGCGCTGTGGCTGCACAGGCCATGGGTAGGAAAGCCAATGCTTTTGCTGACCTTTTTGTGGAATACGCAGAGTTCAGCTTCCATGTTTTTGGGGACCTGGTGAATGTGTGGCTCACCTTCAGCAACCTGCCAGCGGTCCTTAAAAGCCTGCCTTATGATGACCCCCAGGACCAAGCCCAGGCCCTAGCTGCCGCTCATGAAAGAACTTACACCATCTACCACGAGAGATACTCATCAGCGGGTAAGGAACATGGGGATAGGGATTTTTTGTATGACTTTTCACAGATATTTTGTGATGGTGTTAAATGGAACCTGCTATGTGCAAACCCCCTGTGAATATGCTATCCCTGCTCTCAGAATTACATAGAAATCCTTCAGTAACAAGTTCCTTCAAATCCCTTATTTTGATAGTTGTTCTACAATTTGCTGGTAGTCACATTTTCCTTGAAATTATAGTCAAAACAGTTGGGGATATGTGTATGTATACATATTTATATTTAGTCTTTTAAGAATCAGGGAACTATTAAATAGCCTGAGGTTAATTTGAGCACCAGAAACTAGTATCTCAAAATAAAATATAATACATTTATATGCATTTTCTCTAAGGGCTGTTATCCTTGTGCTCTTAATTTAAAGACCAGCAGATGCCCTTGATGAACTGTAGTCTCATACTGTTCATATACCAAACCTTAGATGTAGTGTATAAGGAAAGAGGCAATAAGACTGAGGAAGAATCTTTTTTCCTGCCCTGACGTTTTGTTTTCAAAGCCTTATTCCTTATTTCAATATATTGAAAACTGGGATTGCAATTGCTACCATTTCAGGTAAGAGAGGAAGATGATGCCATCAGTCAGTGGCTGTGCTATAATCTTTTATTTGTGCTGGGTGCAGGCTGCTTCAGGAAGGCATGATGTGTTCCCAAGGAATACAGCTCTGGAGGTCCAGATCTAGATGATGAATCAGGTCAAATTCAACTATCAGCCTTCCACCCAAAAGGTGGAGATCTTTGGAAATGTGTTTAAACACTCCACTTAAACAAAACTGATCATGGTTTAAAATTACATTTAATCAAAGTGAAGTTATTTAACTTTAAAAAGTTAAATAAACTAACATGAAACAAAAAGTTTACTTTTCAGCATAAAATTAATTATATCTCTGTCAGTTAGAAATTACTTAAAATTAATCAAATCCAGTCTTATTCTATTTTTTTCCTGTGTACAATGACAAAGTCATAATAATCAAGCTATTTTGTAGGTGACAGTACCTCTTCCTGACCCACAGAGGAAAGACTAAAAACTTCCTGAAACATAGCTCAAAGCATGAAGAAACAAGGCACAAGAAGTCTCCTGAGAGGCAATAACAGTGTGAGGAAGTCTGCAATGTCCTTTGTTTGACTTTCCTCATCGCACAATCTGGGATTTTTAAGTAATTAAATCCTAACTCTACCTGTGTTACACAGAGCAAGAGAATTTCACCTCTTCTCTGATGGGTACCCAGGATTTTCTAAGGAGCAGCCCTCTTGGGCCTGCATTTTTTGGGCTTGGAATTTATCTGTCCCAGGCAGACAACAATCAGCTGTGCTAAAATGGTTATGAGCTCTCACAATAACACAACATTTATTGACAAAGACTCCCTGAACTCCGCCTATTTATAACTTCTTCAGCTCTGTTGGAATCATAGTGGGTGTTCTAAAATCAGCTACCTAGGGCACTGATCCACATCTTCAAAAACTTGCAACTGATTTTTAAAAAAATACAAGGAACTGAAATTTTTATTTGTCCCTAACACACTGCTAATAGACTGTCTCTTTTTTTTTTTTTTTTTTTTCAAGGTGGAAAGCTTTCCATTGCTTTAGAAATGGGTCATATCTTGGATTCTTCATCAGAATTGCTTTCAGCTTCTCTTCAGGTAACTCCTTAATAGAAATTATTACCAAAATTATATAAATTTGATTTGATTTAACTTGATTTTTATGTGCAGGATGAAGTGACCTATTGCAAGTTATATAAAATTTTAGCAAATTGACCAATTTGGTAA